AGAACTCTCAGCTATTGAGAGCAGTTTGTGTTAATGAAATGACTGGAACAATGATTAGAAAAGAACCAAGGGAGAGCCATTTTATTTGTTAGGTTATATATTGAGACAGTTATATCACGCCTTTTCCTTACTGACTTACAGTTTATAATTAGGTCAGCAGCTCAAACCTCATTGAACGCCCTGTTGGATAAAACAGCGATATTGTGCCTCCTGAAACATATTCAAGGATGGCAACCCCTCCATCTCCACAGGGAGTCTGTTACATTACATAACAGGCTGTACTAGGTGCCAGGGGAGCTTAAGTGGGGGCAGTAATTAAAGGTGGCCACAGAGAAATGTAATTTCCATGTGGAGGCAAATGGAAAGAGGGCCCCCTTCAGATGTTTATTACTTGTTTTATTTAAAACATTTTTATGCTGCCTTTCCCCTCAGTTCAGGGTACCCAAGGTGATAAACAGTCAAAATATTAAACCAAATTTTAACAAAACACGAACACATTGAGGCATACACATAAACATAAACACTAAACAAAACAGGGGGGGGGAAACTTCACCCACTGGTTGAAGACAGTGATAGAAGGGGGCAAATATCTCTCTAAGGATGGAATTCCATAATTTCAGTGCAACGACTGAGGAGACACAATTTCAGGCCCATTCTCAGGTTGTGCCTTGCTACCCGTTCAACCTCAGGTGGTGGGGGTACCTAAAGCAGGGCCTCCGATGTTGACGTATTGGTCAGATAAGTTCATATCGGAGTAGATATGCCAGCCCTTAGCCATATAGGGCTTTAAAGGTCAAACACTAGCACCTTGAATTGGGTCTGAAGAGAACTTGTCAACCAGTGTAGATGGAACAAGACTAGAGTGATATGGTCTCTCCAACCATTCTAGTCTCTGTCCTCCAATAATCCTGTCTTCTGACTCAACAAGCTGAAAGGTCTCTTGAACCACTCCAGTCTCAGTCTTCCAATAATCCTGTACTCAGACTCAGCAAGCTGAAAGGTATCCCAAACATCTGGACGAGCTGGCAGCCTGGCACCATCTGATCCTGTCACTACTAATGTAGAGTCCAAATTGGTATGGATGCAAGAGATTTTGCCGCCAGTGTCAAGCAATCCACTTCTTCCTGCAGGCCAGGTCCCAGTGGGCCACTGAGGCCCCAGAAGAGTTCCACGAGCCTGCACTGTGCAAAAACAATGGTGGTGAAGAAGCGTTTCTTTGCTGTTATCACCTCTGTGGAGTAGGCTTTAAAATAAGCTCTAGCCTCAGATTCATCACAAGTCTTTCTCCACTGCTGCTCTAGCCATCTGCCATGTCACTTCATAGCCCCTCAGTAAACCAATGGCAACACATGTGTCCCAGACTATGAAAGCCTTTTATAGCCTGTACCTTGAATTTGTTGTTTATTTATGTCCCACCTTTCAATTTAAAAGAAGAGACTGGATTTATACCCTACCCTTCACTCGGAGTCTCAGAGCGACTTACAAACCCCTTTCCCTTACCATCCCCACAACAGACACCCTGTGAGGTAGGTGGGGCTGAGAGAGCTCTGACAGAAACTGCTCTTTCAAGAACACCTCTGACAGAACTATGGCTTGCCCAAAGTCATCCAGCAGCTGCAAGTGGAGGAGTGGGGAATCAAACCTAGTTCTCCCAGATTAGAGTCTGCGCACTTAACCACTACACCAGACCTTAAAAATAAATGGCAATGGCAGTTTACAATAAAATCCATACACAACAGTTAAAAATAAATAATTAACAACACAAACAAACTGGCAGCCAGTGGTAGCTGTTTTAAAATTGGCAAGATAAGTTTTTGGGTAGACCTTGATATTAGGAGGGTTCCTCCATTCTTAGCCAGTTGAAATTTCTGGGTTGTCTTGAAAAGCAGTCTCACGTAATAGGCCAGCCACCAGATTACAAAAGAATGGATTAGGATGGCCAGCCTAAAAGGACAGTGTTAGCAAACCAAATGCAGGTTATAGAAGACACTCTTGGCCACTATGTCAGCTTGCTTTTCCAATGGCAAAGTTAGGCCCATTAACACCTCAAGCTCCTAACCTGTTCTGTAGAAACTAACTTATCTCCATCCAAAACAAGTGGGTCCATTCCCTTCAAAAAAGCAGGCTTTGTAACTAGCATCACTTTGTTTTGTCTGGTTTAAGCATCAGGTTGGTCCACCTTGGCCACTGGAACACAGCCTCAAAGCCTTCGTTTGAGATATTTGGTGAGATATATATATACGCACACACATATACCATGAAAAACAGAAATGGGTGTCATGTGCATACTGATGACACCCAACCCCAAAGCTCTGGATGATAAAGATAGATAACAGATATAGACACTGATCGATTGATTGAAGAGCATGACTCTTAAAGCACTCCATAAGAGTTGACTCTGCACCTCCAGAGGCAATTTCCTATGTCCGATCACACAGAAAAGACTGAAATCACCAAAGGACTACTCCTCCAATACCAACTCCATCTTCCAACTTATGAATAAGTATAGTCAACTGTATCAAAGGCACTGGTGGTTCTAAGAATAACAACAGGGATTATTGTGCTCTGTCCAGGGGCATATTGGCCATTAAAACCACTGGGAAAATTACAGCCTGGTCCCCCCCCCCGGGCACCACAGCCCAAAATGTGGGGTGGGCACAAGACCCCACTGCTGCAAGCCCGAGCTGTGGAAAAGGAGAGGCCTGGCTTAGACTCACCCTGCCCAGTGCAGGGGTGGCCCTGGCCATGACGCTGTAAGGGGCACATGTTGGCTTGACATGCTTTCCCCCCTTCCTTTGGGGGTGGGGTGAAGTAGGAGGAAAGCACTTTACCAGGGCCATTTCCCCTGCCTCAATCCACCTCTGAGTCTGTCCCACTTTAAATGAAAATCATTCACCAGACTGGCACCAGTACTACCAGAGTCAGACCCATGTTGATTCCCAAACCAGGCCTGATTGAAATGGATCAAGGGGAAATCTGTCATTCAGGACCCGCCGGTGCTTCTGTACCACCACATACTCTAACTCATTGCCCAGGAAAGATGAATTGGAGACTGTATCCTTAGGAGACCTTAGTCAGGGGTGGGGGGGGGCCTTCTTGAGCAAAACTGCTATAATTGCCTCCAGATACTTGTGGGAAACCCCACTGTGAAGCCAAGTCTCCAATACTTTTTCCTGGCATGATTTTATAAGCCAAGATGCGCCCCCTTACCCCTTTATAAGCCAAGATGTGCCCCCTTGCCCAGTTGGTCCGGAGGTATGCAGATAACACCCAGCTCTATCTGATATTGGAAGGCCATCCGTCCTTTGGAGGCTGTGGCTGGATGGTTGCAGCAGATTCGGTTGAAGCTAAATCCATCGAAGACGGAGGTCCTGTACCTGAGTCGGAAGGGAGGGGATATGGGTATCAGGCTCCCCACACTGGAAGTGGCATCTTTGGTGCCGGCCCAGACGGTGAGGAGTCTGGAAGTGACACTGGATGCCTCTCTTTCGATGGAGGCTCAGTTTACTGTAGCTGCCCGATCTGCCTTTTCCCATCTTCGGCAGATTAGGTTGCTGAAACTCTATCTCTCCCCCCAAGACTTGGCTACAGTGACCCATGCAATGGTCACTTCCAGGCTTCACTACTGTAATTTGCTCTACACAGGCATACCCTTGAGGCTGACCCGGAAATTACAGCTGGTGCAAAATGCAGCGGCACACCTGCTAACAGCGACGCCTATGTGGACTCACATTTGGCAGGTCCTCCGCTAATTGCATTGGTTACCAGTAGAGTTCTGTATCTGCTTCAATGTGTTGGTAATAATCTTTAAATTATTTATTTATCTATTTATTTATTTATTAGATTTATATCCCGCCCTCCCCAAACGGGCTCAGGGCAGCTAACAAAAGAGGCATATGCCATAATTGAACAGCTAAAAACAGTATAAAACAATCCCTCCCACCAAAGTGCCGGTGCTCTTGATATTAGTTGTTATCGGTCCAAGATGGGGTTCCGTTGACCAGCCTAACCCGTCAGCATAAGTTCAGGAATCTATTACTATCGTCCCTTAATGACCAGCTCTTTAGGTCATCTGGTCGTCTTCCCAGGGCCAGCTCACATCCAGATCGAATCCACTGTCGGAGATGGCAGCTTGGTGGTGGTCCAGTGGTGGCAGCGGCTCCTATGTGAAAACCTGGCAGAACAGCTCCATCTTGCAGGCAATGCAGAACTGCGCAAGGTCTCGCAGGGCCCGGATCTCCTCTGGGAGCTCATTCTACCAGACAGGAGCCACCACCGAGAAAGCCCTGACCCTGGTTGCGGCCAACTAGATGTCCTTCGGGCCTGGAACAACCAAAAGGTGTTGCGCCCCTGACCGTAGTGCTTACCTGACCGTAGTGCTTTACACGGCCTGGGACCAACCTATCTGAAGGACCACCTCTTCCCATATATGCCCTGAAGGATCAACACCTCCTGGTAGTCCCTGGCCCAAAAGATGTCCGATTTGCCTTGACCAGAGCCAGGGCTTTTTCCGCCCTGGCCCCAGCCTGGTGGAACATGCTCCCCATTGAGATCAGGGCCCCGTGGGAATTATTTCAATTCCGCAGGGCCTGCAAGACGGAGCTGTTCCACCAGGCCTTTGGCTGAGGCAACAGACGTCCATATATGGCCTCCCTGAGGTGGTTGTCACTCTGTTAACAACTACTGGCTATTGTCAGGAACCTCCCACAACCAAGGAATTTTGTTTGTTTGTTTTGGTTTTTTGTTATTAGCTGTGACCACCATTTTAATATTCATGAAGATGTTTTAAATTTTAATGTTATTTTATTAACAAAAGTTTTGTATAAATGATGTTGTTACCTGCCCTGAGCCCACTTCTGGGAAGGGCGGACTATAAATGTGAATGAATGAATGAATGAATGAATAAATGATGACAGCAAAGAAAGAATACTTTTGTGCCACTCCTGTATCTGCCAGTGCTGACCGGTAGAAAGAGATGCTGCAAGTGATGTGGTGTCTGCCCCATGGCTATTTTTTCCATGGCTTCCTTCATTTCTTGTTCCTTGGTAAGACTCATAGTTGGTAGTTCCAGTGTAAACAGGCCCCAAGCCACACCGTTGGTGCCAGTGGAAACCTACAAGTGTTGTTGTTATCTTTGTTCAGAAGTTCCTTCCTCATACTATCTTTGCATCACCAGAGTGTCAGATCAGACTGTATGGAAACATATTGTAAACTTATACCACTTTTGTTCTTTTTCAGCAAATGAAAGCCAAAATGCTACTTGTAAGTTGATTTTCATAGTTTATCTCTATCATACATATGCAATATTTGTAAGGAAGGACACGTGTCTATTTTTGTTAATTGTTGCTAGATACTTGGCCTTTCATTCTTGTCTTTTTTCTTAGCTTGCTGCTGACTCCATTCCACTTCTGTTAATTGCCCTGATTTTGGGACAGCCTCCCTAGCACTCCTGTCTCACCTCTATGTTAAGTTTAGGACTATAGTTGCTAGGATAAGCTACTTTTAGGGCTGCCAAATCCCCCCGGGGGGCGTCATGACGTCACTTCCCTGTGACGTGCATGTGGCGCGCGTGTGCTTCGCGCACGCACCGGGAACCGAACTGGAGTCCCCTGCCGGAAGGGTAAGTGCCACTTGGCAACCCTAGCTACTTTCCATATGCTGCCCTATCTCCCCAACATCTTCTGTTGTATCTGAAGTTCAGTGCAGGAAAGTGTGGGAATCAGGCATCTGAGGTGATGGAAGGGGGACTGCTCCTAGTTGTTCCATTCATGTATCAGCTGGAACGGAGAACAGGGAGAGAAGGGAAAATCTCCATAATTCCTCCCTTCCTGCAAATAAAAAACCCTTTATCCTTTCCAGAAACTCAGTGTCTTGGGGTGTAGTCTAAAGGTACAGAATACTGCAACCTTGCCAAAGTTCAGCTAGTCTGTGCCTGGTTAGTATGCGGTTGGGAAACATCACTGCGAACCCTGTGGACAGTTCCTGTGGAGGCAAGGGGGGACATGATTGCTCTCTTGAAGTATTTGAAGGGCTGTCAGAGGAGGGCAGGGAGCAGTAGAGGATAGGACTCACAATAATGGGTTTAAATTAAGGGTGGGAAGGTACCAGCTGGGTATTAGGAAAACCCTTTTTACAGTAAGAGTTGTGCAACAGTGGAATCAGCTACCTAGGGAGGTGGTGAGCTCCCCCTCTCTGGCGGTCTTTAAGCAGCAGCAGGACAAACATTTGTCAGGGATGCTCTAGGCTGATCCTGCATTGAGCAGGGGATTAAACTAGATGGCCTGTATGGCCCCTTCCAACTCTGTGAATCTATGATTCTATATTAATGTAACTCATACCTTTTTTTTAAAAAAAAGGACTTCATATGAGCCTGTTAAAGAAGAAGGTAGAAAGTAGAGCAGTTGCAGGTACCCGGTGCAGGATGGTGTCAGAAAGGCGATGGTAGGAGGTACGGCTTAGTAAATGTTGTGTCTGGTCCCTTATTAACTACATTCACATGCTCATAGAGCATTTAGGGATTGATTTCAAGCCTCCCTTCTAGTACTGCTGTGTGAAAGTTTTTGAAAGTCAGAGGAGATTTCAAAAGAATTATGCAGTCTAATTGGTCCTATGGGAGGCAGCTGAAAAAAACTCCACTGAGTGTGTGGGCAAATGTTCAGCCATGCATTAAGATGCTTGTTGGATTGTGGTCAATGTTTATGTTCCTTTCCATTCTGACTAACAGTGGTTGGTTGGTTTGTTTTTCTTCAGATTTGGAATCACCCACACCCAACCATGATACACATGACAACCAACAACAGATATACGTGATGGTCATGTCTCTTGCAGCTGCTGTTGTGTTTATCACAATCATTATATGGATCCTGACTAAAAGGAAGTGTTCTCTTCACAGAGCATATAATGGTAAGTCAGCAACTTCAGAATGTTAACAAACCTCTGCTAGTTGTGGGGAGGGGGGGAGCAATGACCTTAGTCTGCCAAGGTAGTTAACCCAGGACCTCTGAGCTGGGCTCAGACATCATTTCTCTGGTCCTGGTACAAATGTTGTATGACACTATGCACATGCACATATTCCGTGCACATGCACATATTCCAATTCCGTCTCATCCATACAAACTCATGAGTCATGAAACAAAAAAAAATATTTCTTAGATGGCATAACTAGACCATGTCATATTATGGGCTTGCAGTGCAGGCTGGGCATTCAGGCCCTAGTAATATGACTCTATTTCCTCCTCCCCCACTCACAGCACAGGTCTTTTCTGTGGCAGCAGTATGGCTAGTATTTAGTCTGTAATTGACCGATGTATATGATTTTAAAGTAGGCTTATCCTGTTTCAGGTTGGCAATAAAGCATTGCGCCACATTCCCCAGAAGGGAGATGGCATTTTATACTCATTCATCAGCTGGTCTAGTCTTGATTCTACCTTAAGGTGCTTAAGGTCTCTCGTGTGCATGCTCAGTTTACATTCTATTAGGGACATATGTTGTCTGTCCAGTACTGTGACTGGTCTAATAGTACAGTAAGTCCAGAAGCGAAACTGGTCGAATATTGATATAAAATCCATAATACATATCTCTCAGCAGTGGCAGTGAGATCTGAAAGGCAAGGAGCTTTCTGATCAAACTCCTAACATCGACATATACAACTGGGATCCCAGATAGACCAGTGGGGATGGGGGTAAGTGACTAGTGTTAGGAGGGAGGTGTGTAATATAGATATAATGCACCCCTTCCAGTTCTCTCCCTCAGAGGCTAGATTTTTCCCTCTCTTTCTCTGGCTCTTCACTGACTAAGCAGCCTTGGTAATATGTTTTATTTTCCCCTGAAGAAACTTTGGCTATCCCACCCTTTGAGTAAGATATATTTTGATTATTTGCTCAGCCCAAGACCCTGACAGAAGGGATAGGATCGGTCTTTAACTTAAAGCCTTGGAAATGGCACTTGAGACACTTTTGAAATTAAAAAATAACAAAAGGTTTTATTTAACATCAAAGGGAAAGGTCAGGTGAAATAAGGGGTTGAAATTATTGAGGTAAAACTAGTACAAGCACAGACTTTTGATCTTATATATTAGGCTAGTGAGAGGTTCTTAATTCATTCACATTTACTTAGATCTTTATATTGAAAGGCTTTTGTTCCAGTGTTTTCCCAAACACTCGAATCACTTTATTTGAGTAAGCACTGACTCTTTAGAAGAAGAGTTTAGATTTATACCCCGCCCTTCACTACCCAAAGGTGTTTCAGAGCGGCTTACAAACTCCTTTCCCTTCCCCTCCCCACAACAGACACCTTGTGAGATAGGTGGGGCTGAGAGAGCTCTTGACAGAAACTGCTCTTTTTCAAGAACAGTTCTTATCAGCACTACGGCTTTCCCAAGGTCATCCAGCCAGGTGCAAATGGAGGAGTGGGGAATCAAACCCGGTTCTCCCAGATTAGAGTCCGCACACTTAACCATTACACCAAACTAGCTCTCTTTAGGTGCCCAGCTGGCTGGTACCCTCTTCCGAGTACCCAAACCCCTTCTCTTGGAATACCAGTACTCTCCTTGAGTTGTTCACTGGCTTTTAAGGTCTCTACAGGCAGTTTCTAATCACACCAGACCAGAGATTTCTGTACGCCTTGGAGATAACTCTTGCTGTTTTGCTTGGTAGGGAATCTTCTTCTCGTTCTAGCACAGAAGTGTCAAACATAAGGCTGGGGGCTGGAACTGGCCCATACAAGTCTGTTATCTGGCCCACAAGCAAGGAAGAGGAGGGTGGTGGCAGTAGCAGCAAGAGCAACAAAAAGACCCGCATTGGGTTGGCTGGCTGAAAGGTTCATCTCCTTCCCTCCCCCCCTTCCTCTTCCTCTTGGTTGAGCCAGGCTGTACATGTGTGGCCATTGCCCTCACTCTTCCTCCTGTCAGTGGTGGGGTGGGTCACAACCTGTCTGTCAGTGCATGTTCGCACAGCTCCTTCACTTCAGCAGCAGAACCTGCCTCCTTCGGCTCTATTGCTGCCACCTTCTTCTTCTCCTCTGCCCACCTCTCTTGCTCTTTCTCCACCATGATGTTGGAGAAGCAGCCCTTTGGGAGGAGGGAAAGAAGAATAAGGGGTGAAGAAAGTCATTATGTGTGAAGGTGGTGATAGGGGGAGCTGCTGATTGAAATGGACATTGGGGAAGTGTAGGCATGGGAATGCCAGTGTATCTGGGGGGAGGAGTATAAGGGACTCGAGGGAGGAGCATGCAATGAGGTGTGTGGTGGGAACTGTGCTTGGAAAGCCATGGGAGCAGAGGAGAAATATAGCTGTTGGGGTGAGGGAAGGTGCTGGGTGTTTGTGTTTGGGGGGAGTGGCATGCAAGAGCAGGGGCGTAGTTGGAAGCTAAGATAAAACAGGAGTCTTGAGCAATGCTCCCTCTAAGCTGTGGAATCTTGTGAGCAAAAATTCTACTTTGTGAGCTACAGCCATTAAAGTTGTGAGCAAGCAATTTGGCTACTGCATACATTAGTTTGCTCTGGAGCCATCCTTCCTGAGCTAAGACAAAAATGTGTGAGCCAGAGGTTAAAAAACTGTGAACTAGCTCACACTAACTCAGCTTAGAGGGAACACTTGTCTTGAGCCACCTTGGAGACTTTATGAGATTTTGTTGCACCATTTGTATTATCTAGGCATCTGTACCTTGCTTTTCTCCCCAAATGGGGACCCAAAGCAATTTACAAGTATCCTTCTCCCCTTCTATGTTTTTGTTCTCACAACAACAGAGCAGGGTACGTTAGGCTGCGACAGTGACCGCCCCAAAATCACCCAGCAGCTTCCATGGCAGAGTGGGGCTTGTGAGCCTGGGTCTCCCAGTTGTTAATCCCCATGCTTGAAACTCAGCACCATGGGGTGTATGCTTGTCTTTGTGGAAGGTCAGGTGTCTAAGTGGGACTGAAGTGCAAGGAAAGGAGTGGTCAGTGGCACTTCAGCAGCAGAAACTGCCTCCTTCGGCTCTATTGCTGCCACCTTCTTCTTCTCCTCTGCCCACCTCTCTTGCTCTTTCTCCACCATGATGTTGGAGAAGCAGCCCTTTGGGAGGAGGGAAAGAAGAATAAGGGGTGAAGAAAGTCATTATGTGTGAAGGTGGTGATAGGGGGAGCTGCTGATTGAAATGGACATTGGGGAAGTGTAGGCATGGGAATGCCAGTGTATCTGGGGGGAGGAGTATAAGGGACTCGAGGGAGGAGCATGCAATGAGGTGTGTGGTGGGAACTGTGCTTGGAAAGCCATGGGAGCAGAGGAGAAATATAGCTGTTGGGGTGAGGGAAGGTGCTGGGTGTTTGTGTTTGGGGGGAGTGGCATGCAAGAGCAGGGGCGTAGTTGGAAGCTAAGATAAAACAGGAGTCTTGAGCAATGCTCCCTCTAAGCTGTGGAATCTTGTGAGCAAAAATTCTACTTTGTGAGCTACAGCCATTAAAGTTGTGAGCAAGCAATTTGGCTACTGCATACATTAGTTTGCTCTGGAGCCATCCTTCCTGAGCTAAGACAAAAATGTGTGAGCCAGAGGTTAAAAAACTGTGAACTAGCTCACACTAACTCAGCTTAGAGGGAACACTTGTCTTGAGCCACCTTGGAGACTTTATGAGATTTTGTTGCACCATTTGTATTATCTAGGCATCTGTACCTTGCTTTTCTCCCCAAATGGGGACCCAAAGCAATTTACAAGTATCCTTCTCCCCTTCTATGTTTTTGTTCTCACAACAACAGAGCAGGGTACGTTAGGCTGCGACAGTGACCGCCCCAAAATCACCCAGCAGCTTCCATGGCAGAGTGGGGCTTGTGAACCTGGGTCTCCCAGTTGTTAATCCCCATGCTTGAAACTCAGCACCATGGGGTGTATGCTTGTCTTTGTGGAAGGTCAGGTGTCTAAGTGGGACTGAAGTGCAAGGAAAGGAGTGGTCAGTGGGAGCAGACTTGAGATTTGGAGGAGAGTGGATTTGTGTGGATAAATCACACAGATGTGGTGCGAGAAAAGGGCTGATTTAGGAGTTCTGGTCATTAACAGGCGGCTGGTGAATCCACGGAGGGTTCATGATTTTTGAGGTGGATTGAGCAAATGTTGAGGGGGGTGGCTCCAGTTCTTTGGAGAGTTTATATGATATGTGTACATTTTAGGGTGGACCTCTCTAAGTGGGGAAGAAACCCTGCTTCACACAGAAAAATACTTCCAGGATTGCAGAGGGAAAAGTTGCTGATCTAATGTAGTGGGGAAATGTATTTTCAGGGAGGGAAGAAGACCCCTGGGATTACTTGTGCCAGGGAAGGGGGGAGGGATGGACAGGAAAAGTTTCTCTAAGGTGGGAGGCATTTGCTCAAGGCAGGGATTACACATAGTGAGTTAGCACAGTTGACAAAACGGGACAGTCACACTGCTCCCCCACCTACCAGTGAAAGGATGCCTCAAATAGCAGGTAGGTGGGTGAGCGGTGTGATGCTGTACTGAAGGATAAGCTTTCTGAAGTTTGCATGTTTAATTTCCTAGTCATGCATGAGCCCAATAATTGCCCAGCCTCATTTCCTGAGAACAAACCATTGTTTGTTGTTATGTGGGAAACTTGCCAAAGTATGGACCATTCACAGATTCTCAAAGGATATGCCAACTTTCCATTGCAACTTATGGAAGACTCAGGATAGTGAATTCACAGGAGCTCTTTTCTAATCCATAGATAATGAAAGAGAAGCCTTGCTTGGGGAGATCTCTGCCTAGGGTGCACTCAAACATTATGCCACTTCCTAACTAAATCTGGGATGTTCGCCAGGGTGTATTCAAGGTTATTTTATTATAGTTGCATGAAAACAAAGACTAATGCAAGAATTATTATCAGAGGCTTCACTAATATTGCAAATAATTGTCACTTGTCTTTTGCATTGCACTCTAAGGATGTGCCTATGTGGGGGGAAATATTTTTCATCTCTACAGGAAATGCAGGCTTGTGCAATATTCTCTGATTCTCTCAGCCACATATGATTTTATTTCCATTACTAACAACCTGTCCATTGTGAGGATTTTTTTCTAACTACTTCTGTCATCCTTTGGAAGAATGCTTAGGATTTTTGGAGGGAAGTCCCCAATTTACACACTAGTGAAAAAATGTCTTATTCAATGGTGTGGAAATCCCCAGACATGAATGCTGATGATACTCTGAAATGTGATAGAGAAATTTGCTGAAAACGATATTGGTGGGGCTGGATTATTGCCTATAGACAAACTGTAAGCATGTGATATTCTGTGTAGCAATGGGTAGGACTTAAGTACTTCTCTATTGCTTTCTTCTTGTGGGTAAGAAGTGACAATAGAGATGCACCAATTAAGCTTCAGAGAGGGTGGAGGGGCCCAGCATTGAAATCTTTGCATGCAGAGCCAGTTTTAGTGGCCCCTTTACTGGGATTTCTGCTTTATTTTTTCCATGAAATTGTTCACAGTATTAAGCAATTCTCCTTTTGCTCTTATGTAACCCTTTTTTCGTTTTATCTCTGAAGCTCCTGTTGGCATGGGCATGTCATAGAAAGCTGCCAAGACACTGAGAGACACCGCAGTGCTACTTTTCAAAGACAGTGGCAGATATTTGTGATTGTCTTTCGGCAGAAGAACACAGATTGGAATGAAACTGTGGTGTATTCAATCTGTCAAATGTATGTATGTGAACTCCCTGATTGAATCACCTTGTGAAGCTTCGTCCTGGGCTGGGATCCAAATCCCTAAACTACAATTGGTAGTCCAGGAAGAGCCGACCAATCACCAACATCCAGTTCCCTGAGAGGAAACACTTGTGATTGGACCTTATCCGTGCAACCTCATAGGTTGGTATTGTAAAATAGGGCGTGGCTATATTAGCCGGGAGAGTTTAAAAGAAGAACAGCTTCAATGCTAAAGCTGCTCTGGCTATTCATGTTGATCTGTTTGGAGTTGAGTTACGAGTTGCTGAATAAAGCTGATCTTTTGCTGAATCACTCTCTGACTCGTTTGTTAAGTAGCCAACTTAACAATTGGTGACGAGGATGGGATTTTAAGGCGGGTAGGCAGCCCCGCTTAAAACAATCCCACGACGGACATCAGCGAGCATCGCGCCATGGCCGATCAGTCGCAGGCACCGCCAGATCCGGTGGAAGCGCCTGCAATGATGGCCAATAGCCAGAAGTTCGAGGCATTCGAACCCACAACCGAGGACTGGGACGCTTACCTGACGCGGTTAGAGTTCCACCTCGAAGCGAACGACATCGCGACCAAAGCTAAGAAGCGGGCAACCTTCCTGAGCTCTTGTGGCAAAAGCGTGTTTGACATTGCCTGGTCGCACCAGCGGACATCATGACGGTGCCGTTCAAGGACTTGACGGAGAAGCTGAAAACTCACTTCTCACCTCAGCCGTCAGAGATTGCCTGCCGGCACGCTTTTTATAAAAGAAGCCAGGCAGCCAACAAGCCGGTGGCCGAATATGTGGCAGCGTTGTGCAAGGCTGCACGACCCTGCAACTTCGCGAACATCGAGGAAGCCCTCCGAGATTGGCTGGTGTGCAGCATGAGGGACGAAAGGCCACAACAGTGGTTGTTCACCCGCACCACCCTGACTTGGGCTGTCGCCTACACTGAGGCCGTTGCCGCAGAGGCAGCCGACAAGTCCACCAAAAGAGGTCCGCCAGTGGTTGGCGTCAACAGAGCAGCGTGTTCACCACCAAGCTTCTAGCAACGAGGGCAGTGACGCGGATGAGGACGTCTATGCAGTAAAAGCGGGAGCAGACAAGCAGACCAGAGTGAAGCCTGCAGCCAGCCCAGCGTGCGCCGGTTGTGGCGGAAACCACCCTCGCAATCAATGTTGGACCAAAGACATCGTGTGTCGAGCGTGTGGCAGGCGGGGCCATCTAGCACGAGTCTGCAGATCGTGGAAGAAATCACCGCCAGCATCTTTACCGAGGAACCAGCACAAGCAGCAGTAAGGGAAGCAAGCTGTCAGATGACAACTAGCCTGTCGTCCGCATCGACCGTCCTTCGCACCAGAGGTCAAGGGAAGATTCACGTCACCCTCCTCCTAGACAGTGTTCCGTGCAGCATGGAGGTCGACTCCGGGTCATCAGTTACGGTGATCTGAACGAAAACGTGGCAGCGGCTGTTTCCAACCCGAAGGCGGCGGCGGCTAAAGCCAGCGGACACGAGGGTATCAGATTTTCAGGGAAAGCGTATTCCTCTGGCGGGGAGGGATATGTTCAATGTCGAATTTAAAGGGAAATGTGCTGCATTATCTCTGTTGGTTGCTGAAGGGGACCGGGTTAACCTGCTTGGCCTGCATTGGTTCAAACCCCTGGGTATTGGCATTACAGGTGTGAATACCGTTACTGAAAATAAATGGGCATTGTTGTATGCTAAGTTCCCTGAAGTGTTTGGGGGTGGCCTGGGAAGGTACAAGGGGCCCCCCATCTCGTTTGAACTGGATCCCTCCGTGACCCCGATTTGATTAAAATATTGAAAGGTGCCCATTTCACTCAAACCCCGGATCGAAGCAGAGCTAGACAAGCTAATCAAACGGGGGTGCTTGAGCCAGTACCATTTAGCAGGTGGGAGAATCCCATAATAACACCTGTTAAACCAGACGGTTCTGTGAGGATTTGTGCAGACTATAAATGCACCCTTAATCGTGCATTACAGCAGCACTCATACCCTGTACCCGTCATTAGCCACATCCTGGCGTCTCTGGGGGGAGGAAAAATATTTGCAAAACTTGACATAGCTCAAGCGTACCAGAAGCTGCCAGTGACCAAAGAGGCAGCTGAGGCCCAAACAATAGTCACACACCGAGGGGCCTTCAGGGTAAAGAGACTCCAGTTCGGAGTTAATGTAGCCCCAGGGATTTTTCAAGGTCTCATGGAAGGGTTACTCCGAGGGGTGCCTGGCACTGTTCCATATTTTGATGACGTACTGATTGCAGGAGGGTCAGACCAAGAGCTTATGGAACGAGTGAGAACAGTGCTGGAGCGGTTTAAGTCTGTTGGTCTAAAGGTAAAGCAGTCAAAGTGCCTTGTGGGGGTCCCGAGTGTAGAGTTTTTGGGGTTTTGAATTGACAAAAGTGGTGTCCACCCCACAGAGGACAAAGTGGCGGCGGTGCTCCGTGACCCCTAAACAAAAAAGAGTTCCAGTCCTTTTTAGGACTGTTAAATTTCTATCACGCCTTCCTGCCACACAAAGCGTCAGTGGCAGTGCCTTTGCATGCACTCCTACACAAGGACACAAAATGGAAATGGGGCTCTGAACACAAGCAGGCGTTCAAGGGAGTCAAAGCCTTGTTGTTGTCTAATGCAGTGTTGATGCATTATGACGAGCAGAAGGTGCTAGTGCTCGCAGCGGATGCATCTCCGTTTGGGGTGGGGGCGGTCCTTAGCCACCTAATGCCGGACGGCAGTGAAGCCCCAATTGCGTTCTATTCAAAGTCGTTATCTGCAGCGGAAAAGAATTACACTCAAATTGATAAGGAGGGTCTGGCACTGGTATCAGCGGTAAAGAAATTCCATGATTTTTTGTATGGGTGGAAGTTTCTCTTAGTGACGGATCACAAACCGCTGTTGGGAATCTTTGCCCCGGACCGGCAAATCCCAAATATCCTGTCTCCCCGCATGTTGCAGTGGGCGATTTTCCTCACCGCATATGATTATGACTTTGAACACCAGCCGGGCAAGGCGATTGGACACGCGGACGCCCTCAGTCGCTGCCCTCTACCCGGCCAGGACTTGGACCCTGCTCCAGCTAGCACGGTGCTAGCCATCGACGAACTGCCTCAGGCCTTGATCTCCTCCATGGACATTGCTGCTGCGACAGCTAAGGACAATGTACTTGCCCGCGTTTTAAACTGGGTGTGGAGGGGGTGGCCGGCAGGGAATGGGGAGCAGGAGTTCAAACCGTTCCATGCGCGCCAAAACAAGCTGTATCAAAGGGATGTGTACTTCGGGGGAACCGGGTGGTGGTGCCCAACAAGCTCAGAGAGAAGGTCCTGGAATCCCTTCATGAAGGCCATCTCGGTATGGTACATATGAAGGCACTGGCACGGGGGTATGTTTGGTGGGCCGGTTTAGACGCTGATATCGAAGAGTGGGTAAGAGTTTGTATGCCCTGTCAACAGGCCAGGCCCGAGCCTCCTACCGCTACACCGCAGAGATGGGAATCTGCAGGGAAGCCATGGTCCAGGCTTCACCTAGATTTTGCGGGGCCTATGCAGGGACAAATGTTTCTTTTAGTTGTTGGCGTGTACTCGAAGTGGTTTGAGGTTGCACACATGCACTCTACCTCTTCGATCGCCGTCATCAACGTCCTACGCTGTCTGTTTTCAACCCACGGGCTACCGGAGGTGCTGGTGAGCGACAACGGGGCTCAGTTCACCTCTAGGGTTCGCTCAGTTCCTAACTGACAACGGGATTAGGCACCTGACATCAGCTCCCTTTCACCTAGCCTCTAACTGCCAAGCTGAGAGAATGGTCAGGACAACCAAGGAAGCCCTAGGAAAACTAACGCAGGGCGACTGGGGGGTAAAACTGGCCTCAATTCTGTGTGTCCAGATTTTTTTGCTCAATTCTGTTGCACCAGCATGTTACCCCTTGCTCTTCCACAGGCCGCAGCCCAGCCGAGCTGCTGATGGGGTGCCGCCTCACCACCTTGTTAGATCGTTTGCACCCAGATCTTAATGATCTGAGGCCCCAGCAGCAGAGTGCACTTGCAAAAGTTCGCACTTATGAAAAGGTGACAAAGTGTTTGTGAGAAATTACGCAGAGGGTCATTTATGGCTTCCAGTCATAGTGGGGGAGGTAATTGGTTCACGCATGTACGTGGTAGAGCTTGCAAACAGACGCAAGTGGCAACGCCACATAGACCAGCTTAGGCAGTGGTGGGCGAAGGAAAGCCTAGACTCCCAGCCGGCTGCGTCTTCCGAACCTTAGGACCAACCCCAACCTCCGACCAGGGAGGTTAGTACTGCACTGGCCAGTACTGTCCCCGAAGCAGGGCAGACCCCTACCTTCGAGGCTGCAACCCCAGACCCAGAGGTACCTGACTCTGAAAACCATGAGTCAAGCAGGGCCCCCCCCAAGTTGAGCTGTGTCCTGAGCCTGCACAGCTACGCAGGTCTCAGCCGGTGCGCCGAGAACCAACGTACTTAAATGACTACGAATGCTGATATGTGTCTTTACTTAGGGGGGAGGAATTTGTGATGTATTCAATCTGTCAAATGTATGTATGTGAACTCCCTGATTGAATCACCATGTGAAGCTTCGTCCTGGGCTGGGATCCAAATCCCTAAACTACAATTGGTAGCCCAGGAAGAGCCGACCAATCACCAACATCCAGTTCCCTGAGAGGGAACACTTGTGATTGGACCTTATCCGTGCAACCACATAGGTTGGTATTGTAAAATAGGGCGTGGCTATATTAGCCGGGAGAGTTTAAAAGAAGAACAGCTTCAATGCTAAAGCTGTTCTGGCTATTCATGTTGATCTGTTTGGAGTTCAGTTACGAGTTGCTCAATAAAGCTGATCTTTTGCTGAATCACTCTCTGACTCGTTTGTTAAGTAGCTGACTTAACAGAAACACCTAGATCTGGTCTTGGGCACAGTGAACTGTTAGTAATATTTGCCCTTCTGTTGGTGAAATTCACAGTTCTGCCCATTGAATGACAGAAAAGTAAAGACAATACTTGTGTGTTAAATCCTGTGAAAGACAGCAAGGAGGATACCCTTCCTTGGGTAGAGACGAAGGCAGATACAGAAAGTAAGTCAGCACAAAGACACAGAGGAGCTGTTGGAAGGCAGCTTT